AAAAAAAAACAGAAAAGATTGAAACTTTACAATGTAACACACATAAATAAATATTAATAACAGTAATATTAACAAAATATATTATTTCACCATCTGGGTTCTGTTTTTCAAACCAAAAAAAAAAACATCAAAGATTGAAACTTCACAATGTAACACACATAAATAATGAGTAAGAAAAATAAATAAATATTAATAAGTAAAAACCTGAATTGTCTTGACTGCAGGCTTGTTGATCTTTCTCAAATAACTTGTAACTCCCTTCATATTCCGCAACTCGTGGAGCGGCCGGAAAGTCCGGTTCGTTTGCGACGAACCGGAACAAACGGGCGTGTACCGAGACAAAAATACGAAGAGGAAACAAACAAATGTGCAAATGATTGGTGGTTTTGTGCTTGTTTTTTGAGGTTTAGAACAACAGGAAGAAGCCATTTTTGTTTGTTTTGGAGCTAACAAGGTTTTGGTTGTTTTTGTTGTTGTTGTGTTTGTATGCATTTGTGTGTTGTTGTTGTTGTTGTCTTTATTGTATAAAAATGTGATGAGCAACAAAGATTTTGATCATTATTCCCAAATTTTGTCTATGGAAACATAACTAAGCTAGCAACTATCACAAAATAAAAAATGGCATAAAGATTCAAAAGAAAAGTTAAAGCTCAGGCATGCTTGGCTGCAAAAATCACTAATACCTAAGCTTTTTTTTTTTAGTTTTCAAATGACCCCATTTGGACAGATAATAACAAGTACAACTATACTATATACAAAACACACACACTCTCTCTGTTAAATTTTCACTCATTTAAATACACACATACACACACACACACACACACACACACACTGAGATTCTTGTTTTCTTGGGTGTTCTGACGTGGAGAAGCTTTGAACTGGCTAAGCTTTATTTAAATAGGCTCTTCACAAGTTGGGTTTAAGTTTTTTTTTTTAAAAAAAAATAAATTATGGTCAAAAAGTTTTTTTTTTTCTCCTAATTTTTTGTAAAAAGAAATGGTTTTTCAAGAAGATGTTATGGTGTGCCTAGAGAAGGTGTAAACAAGCTGAGTCGAGCTCTAGCCTTGATACTCGAGCCAAATCGAGTTTTGCTTGTCTACTTGACGAGTTGAACCTTATTAACGAGCCGAGCTATAGAAGTTTATATGAAAAATCCAGTTTTCGATCTTAACGAGCCGAGCCAAGCTTAAGACCGGTTGATTTCGTTTAACAAGCTTAGGTGTGGTCCTGTTTTATGTTCCTGTTGCTGTAAGTTCATTTTTGGTGCCCAAAAATATTTAGCTGTTATAAAAAAATTACCACATATGCAACAACCAGTTATTGCTTTCCAGTTTGAGAATGTTTTTGCTTTACTACAAAGCATATAGTGCTCTACAAGTATGTTACTATAGCTTTATTCTTCCTTATCCCATTTGTCCTTGTATAACAAACTTGTGAATTGTCCATTTCAATATTCTATTTTTTGTTCCTTAAGTTTTTTCACTTTAAAAAGTTTCATGTTTGTAGTTTGAACACTATGGGTTGGGCTTGGTTAGGACCAAGTTTGGCATACCTTCTAAAGATCATTTCAAGTTCCTTAGCTTGAAATATTTGGGGTGCCAACGAACTGACTTTAATTATAAACGAGTTCAATCTTGACTCGTGTATCAATATTAACGAGTCAGATTGAATTTTAATTAGCCGAACTACAATAATTTATATAGAAACTCTTATTTTGAGTCTTAACGAGTTTGGTTCGTTAACTAAATGATTTATAGTTCGGTCGAGTTTACGTTTCATTTATTTGTATAACATTAAAGGAAGTATAAAATAAAAAGTTAATTTACCCCATACCTTGTTTTGGATTTTTTTAGAAAATTCATGTGATGTAGCTAGGGGACCATGTACTGTACAAATTAGTCAAACAAATAAATGAAAGAAAACAACATGATGATAAATAAAATAATTTTTTTGCAATGGTCCCAATTTTACCAAATTTGGTGAATATATATTATAGGTAAATGAATAGATAAAAATAATCAAATGGTGAACTCTAAACCAAACTCCCGCCAAAAAAAGAAAGTCAAATTAATGTGAGCAAACCCGAGTCGAAATTAAAAACTCAACCGAACCGTGCAATTTAGTGTAGAATTTTTTGATTCAATTTTTCTTATATTACCAAACAAAATAAGTAAATAACAAAATTCAGTTAAAAGGGCCGTTATTACTTGCCCAATAACTGTACCTGGCCCATTAATAAGGGATGGTACATCAAGTAATTTTTTCAATTTAATTACGTTGTAATTTTATTGATATATTAAAAATTATTGGTAATCCATATTTCTTGATTGGATGTCCCGTTCTGGGCCCGACGTCATCATCAGTTCTGTATGATGTCATTTTCTTTTTAATTACATATTTGTTTATGTAAAGGACCCTATGGAAAGACTTTTGATGAGCTGATGAATGTCTAAATCATAAAAGTTTATTGCTAATCATTGTCTTAATTCCATCTTATTGATGTATTAATATAATTGTGCAGCCCTAATAGGATATGTATTAAGCATAATCCAAAACCACATAAATAACATAAGTGATAATGATGATAGAGATTTACTTCACTACTTCGATTAATCGAAGAGTGTGGAGTTACTATAGTGCCAAATTCGTGCAAATTATTATTTTTTATGAAAAAAATAAACATCTATGCCTCCTAGGCCGATTTTTTTTTCATTTTTTTTTCGAATTCGAGTGTATTTAGGTGACATTCAAGTTGTTTCACGAAACTAAATTACGATGAAGTTATTTTGTGAGTTGTCTCACATTGTTTATATAAGAAAAATAAGCATAATTTATATCTAGTGGACCATTCATTCTTCCACCAATTGGTTTTTGAGATGAAACCTCACTGGACCTTTAGCTAGGTTTTCTCTGTTATGGTGCGCTTCATATACGTGAGACTGCACCCGAATTACCCCGATTCTTACGTGATATCAAAGCCGGTTCTATTTGGATGTAAATATGTTGTTACTTATTAGCTTTTGATCTAATGATAGTCTTTAAGAAAAATTGAAATTCACATTTCAAGATTAATTATTTAAGGAATTTCTAAAAATTCTCTAAGACCTCTACTCATTGTGTTAATAGTGAAAATTGTGAAAAAAGGGGGGGACCAAAAGAAATTTCCATTCTATGGATCAATTAATCAACTTTGTCATAATTAAAGCAAAAAATTAATAAATGTAAAGGGAAGACACAAAATAAAGATTGATCCTTTTATTGCCCATTTGTGCAATAATAATTATCATGTGGTTAAGCACTAGTTTGTGGTGCAAGCACAAAGGTATGGAGAAAAAGATAATGTTCCCCACGCATATGTTAATATGTTCACCGCTTATGTAGCATGCACATATTGATGATGTATTTTTTTTTGAACATATTAACATCACCAATGTGTGCATGCCACATCAACGGTAGACATATTAACATGTGTCTACCGTGAGTAGGTGAGCATTACTCACAAAGAAAATGCTTAAAATAAGTTGTCTTTATAGGGCTTCTCTTTTTTAGGGTTGTGGAGAGAGCAACATTGTTTCCCACTATATTTTGGACCTTCTTATTTTATTTTATTTTATTTCATTTTATATAATTAATAAACCACCAAAATTAGTTCAAATGCCCTTTTTTTATCTTTCTCTTCTTTTCAGAGCAGACCCACTGCACATCATTCTCTGCCTCCAACAAAGGAATTTGTGAACTGTTTGAAGAATGATTGGCCCATTAGGGGTCACTCTCACCACCCACATTTTGCATATTATTTTATTTATTTCAAAAAATGTAAAATATATTTGATGGGGACATAAATAAAGTATAGGTTGTACAAAAATAATGGCATATTGGTGAGATTATTTTGTAACACTTACTCTTTTTAATATAACAAATTAAATATGACACTGATAATATAAGTACGCATTTTTGTTCGTATAGTATGATGGGTTGACCTGTTTAACGATTAGACTGTCTCACACAAGATTCCTGTTTGTAATAAGTGCTTGCAGGTGTAAACGAATCGAGTCGAGTTTGAAACTTCTGATACTCGAGCTCGATCCTTTACCGGTCAAACCGTTAATTAAATGAGCTTGAGTTCGATTGACGAGCTGAACTCGTTCCTTAACGAGTCAAGCTAAGATTAATATTTTTTGAAAATTACATAACATGCATATTTCTCGAGTCTTAACAAATCGAGTTGAGCCACCAGCGATTCGTTTCGTTTAACAACTCTATAACTCTTGTGCCAGAATCTTGATATATGTATAATTAGTGCAAATATATGGCTTTCAATTTAATATGTATGTATCATGACTTTGAAGACTTGAAACAATTTGATCAAATAAGATCTTCCAATTTTGATGAAGTTGTATAAATATTATATCATCACCATAAGAGTGTTTGAAAACATTTTTTTTTTTATTTTTTTATTTTTTTATGTATTCAGTTAGTGTTACTGTTGTTAATTATTGTGTTACTATAGTTAATGTTATACATATTCTTTCTTGTTATTTGCTCAGTGGAAACATTATCTGTAAAGTTTCTTGGGTGGCCTGAAAGAACAGATTCCAACCCCAATGCACACCACACTATATATAATATTATTAACATTTTTAATACAATATAAGTTTTATTTAACACAATAATAAATTATTCTTATTATATATCAATTATCTTGTTAAATTTGTTGTTGGTAGCATGAGATGGTTTATGTGGATGGCATGTGAGATAACTATAGTACTAATATTCTTGCTTTTGCTGGCATTTTATTTTTTATTTTACTTATTTATTTATTTGAAAGGATGTTCTTTGCTCTGCTTTTAATTTTTTTAGGTACAAATTCCCTTTTGTGAATAAAGTGGGCAAAGGCTGCCATCTTTTGGTTGATGCTTTTGGGGCAGATGTAGAATATCAATACAAAAGAATGGCTAATGTGGAAATTTGAATGATCAGTTTGATAAGCTATTGATTTTAAAATTATTGCCTAGATTTCCACAACTCTATAGCCAGCATA